GCTTGGTGTGGGGAATAACATGATGATGTGACTTATCCCGAGGAGCACCTGATACGGGTCTGCGTTATCCATCCGAGCATGCCGCGAGCACTCCGATGCGACTCCGCTGGTCCGGGAGTGGGGCCGGGGTCGAAAGGTGCGCCGCGCGGGGTATCCCGGGCCGGAAAGTAGCCGGTTCATGAGTCTACGATGCGCGAAGCAGCATGCGGCGCGACTTGGCTTAGTCCTGACAAACATAAACACGTCCATCTCTAGTATTGCTTCCAGCTAAGCAGCTTCTAATTGCCTCGGCTATCCTAACCTTGACATATCGGTGTCTCACTACAGCATTCCAATGTGTCAGTAATTGAGAAGCCGGGCCATTCTCATCAAGATGTGATCATGCAGCTGCAATCACCCCAACATATGCAAGCCTTCCAAGCCGCCTCTGGGGGATCATCCCCGATGTAGAAAGCCGTAGCGCCCCCGCATCACACCGGCAAACAGACACGAATCGGCCCCGTCGTTCATGACTGACGGATACTCTGCGGCTGCAAAGCCCAAAATCGACTTTGCAGCAGATAACTCACCATGATCCGAGGATGGCATTTACCTCACACACGTGGTAGTCAACACAGCTCGCGCCGGGCTCTCCCGCAGAATCATGTGAAACCAATACAACGGACAAACATGCATAACTGGGAAAAAGGGGGTATATTCTTCATTCTTTTGTGTATCCGTTCTAAATCCCGAAAAAGAAGCCCATCATACCGTCTCCCCGCTCAGTTGCACCACAACCGCACCGCCTTGTCCTTCCCGCCGCTCCCCACGCGCCCGCCGTCCCTCGGGCTCCAGTCGACGGCGTACACCTCGTCCTGGTGCCCCGGCAGGTCGACCGCCAGCTTGTGCGACGCCATCGACCACACCTTGAGCGTGGTGTCCTTGGACGCCGTCACGAGCAGCCGCGAGTCGGCGGAGAAGGCGCACTGGTACACGGGCGCGACGTGGCCGCGCAGCGTGATGATGAACTTGCCGTCGCGCGCGCTCCACAGCTTGGTCGCGTTGTCCCAGCCGGCGCTCGCGATGAGCGTGCCGTCGGGCGAGAAGGTGACGTGGTTGACCTGCTTCTGGTGGCCGAGCATGCGCGCGACGGGCTTGGTGCCGGCCGACGGGTCCCAGAGGTACATTGTGAAGTCGTCCGACGCGGAGACGAGGCGTTCAGCGACCTTGCCCTGCACGCGCGCGGCCTTCTCGAAGCGCTCTTTCGCCTTCGCCCGCCGCGCGTCCTCCGTGTCCGGGGTCGGCGTGTGGTCGAAGAAGCCGGTCCGCAGGGCGAACTCGGTGGAGAGCGCGAGGTGGTTGACCCAGTGCGCGTGCGCGGAGAGGGTGTGCACGAGGGTGCCCTTCACGGCGTCCCATACTTTGACCGTCTTGTCGTGCGAGGCCGTGTAGATGAGCCCGGTGCCGCCCCACTTCACGCAGGAGACGCTCGACTTGTGGCCCGAGAGGACGTGCTCCGTCCGGCCGGTGTTGACGATCCACACGCGCACCGTGGCGTCCTTGCTCGCGGACGCCAGGCGCGGCGTGCCGTCGCGCCAGAGGTGGTATGGCTCCCACGCGATGTTGGTCACCCACTTGGCGTGCCCGGTGAGCGCCTGCTGGCTCGCCGGGACGCCCTTGTCCGGGTCCCACAGGCGCACCGTCTTGTCCATGCTGCCGGTCGCGAGGCGGCGGCCGTCGGGGCTCCACGCCACACACAAGACCCAACCGGCGTGGCCCGCGAGGGTGTGCTTGGGCGTGCCGGTCTCGGTGTCCCATATGCGCGCGGTCTTGTCGCCGGAGCCGGTGGCGAGGCGCTTGCTTGTTTCGGGGGAGAACTGGGCGGCGAGGATGGCCTCGCCGTGGCCGGGGATCTTGTGCGCCATGCGCGTGACGGCCTGGACCTTGAAGACGGCCTGCGGCTCGGCGGAGAGGGTGATTGTGGTCTCGAAAGGGTTGGCGACACCATTTGCGCGGAGGGTCTCGAGGAGGTTGGAGGGGTAGGTCTCGATTATGGTGTCGGAGTCGGGGATGTGGATGCGGAACTTGTAGGGGAGGAAGTCTTCTCTTTCCTGTCGGGTGGTTAGCCAGTGAAACTTTTGGTTTTCGAATGGTTGAAGCTTTACCTTTCCTAACAGGGTGTTGAGAAGCAGAGTGAGGTTCTTCTCCGAGGCGTCGGCCAGAGGCACCTCAATCACCTCGGCGAGCTGCTGGCCGTCGCCGTCGACGAAGCGGGCCTTGAAGGAGCCCTCGAGGCCCGGCGTGACGGCGTCGACATCTTGTTGCGTCTGTGTCCTGGCCTGCGTCTCGCGCTTCTGACGCTTCGACGGCGGGGGCACGACCGTCGCCATAGCTGTGAATGTGCCTGCTGATCGTAGTTGTGGTGTAGTGGTGTACTGGTGTTGACCGCCCGAAAAAGTGGTGGTGAAATTATTTCGACGGCGATGCGGGATGGTGGGGCAGAAATTTTGAAAGGGACGTCGGCGAGAACTTGTCCGTTGTTGCGACCATCTCCACTTTAATTGTCCATGGCACCGCTATCTGGAACTGGTGGGGTGCAGAGCGCATCTCTGTTAAGGCGGGCGGAAAGCCGATGGTCTGTCTCCTGTGACCGACATGAAAAGGAAAAAAAGCATTTTCTCCCGGCTGTAGTAAAAAAACAACGAATAAACTGACTCCGGAGCGAAATCCCTGCGGCTCCATTCCCGAAACTGTGCTTTTTCCGCGAGGATAAGAAAACATACACTCGAAGGAGAGAGGCCATCCTTGTCCGGTGCTGGCCTGCTGGATGTCCATATAAACGCCCCCATATCCTCCGTCCGGCCCGCCCACGTACACTGATCTCGACCTTTTTTACACCTTATTAAACCATGGCGACCATCTTTCAACCTGACGATCCAGCTCAATCTCACGAATTGGGCCGAACTACCTTCCCATGTGCATGCTCGGGTCAAGACTCTGCTGGTCCATGGCGTTCTTCTTAGTAGGCCGACCTCGACGCTTCTGCTGGGCCGGCGTGCCGCCTCCGCCCGCCGACGCTCCCGGATTGTTTGCCGGCGTATTCCTGTAGTGCTGGAAGACGTTGTTGGCGTTCGGCCCTGGCGCCTGTTGCATCCCGAACTGCGGCACCGGGATTGGGGTCTGCTGCACGGGCGTCTGTTGTACGGCGTTGCCCATGTGCTCTCGCGCCATGTTTATGAAGTTCTGCTGGTGGCGGTTGCTAACCTCCGCCTGCCGGTCACGGTACTGAGCGTGCTCATCGTGGGTCGACTGCTCGAACGGGTGTTTCGGCATTCCCGTCATGCTGTCCCGCGACATTTGCGTCATCTGCTGCTGCTGTTGTTGTTGCTGCTGCTGCTGGGCGGCGCGATTATGGGCATGCGCATGAGCGTGGTTGTGATTATGGTTATGATTCTGGGGCTGTGGCTGTTGGTGTTGTTGATGTGATTGGTGCGTTTGGTGCTGCGGTTGATGTTGTTGTGGTTGCTGGTGGTGTTGTGGTTGAGCTTGCGTTTGTTGTTGTTGCTGCTGCTGCTGCTGTTGCTGTGTCTGCTGCGCGCTTTGAGACTTACGACGGTTGTCTTCAATCTCTTGATGCTTCCTCTCTTGCCTTGCCTGCCGCTCTTGCCTTTGTAAATCCTCGTTCTCAATGGCATAGAGAGCCGCTACACGCAGCTGCAGCTGAGCCAGAATACCCATGCGCTCGGGTTTGGACATCTTCCGGTATTCCGTCTTAAAGTTGTGGAAGGTATCGCCAGTCAGTCGCATCTGGGAGGTGGAAACGCCGGCTACGGCAAGGGCCCGTGACGTTTCGGGATCTGGTGTTGGGATCGAGTCGTCCTGCTCGGGCACTAATACGGGTCAGTATTAGACGACGAAACGATAAAGCGACGACGGGCAGAACTCACAGGCTGATGCGTCCTGTACATCGGCATCCCCCTCGGCATCGGCGTCCTCTTCATCTGTCGGCGGATCAGGCGTCCTCGGCTCGTGGTTGTGCTCGTCGCAGATGACCGTCAAGAGCCATGCGCCCATGGTCTTGCGATTAACCGCTTTTGCCTTCCATGGACAATTGGTCTTCTTGGTGGTCGTCTTCAGTTGGGTCGCGGTGCACTTGTACGGCTGGCCACCGCGGTCGCAGACGAGATCGCATCGCACCACCTCGCTGCCCTTCTCATACGTGCCGCCGACCTTGTTGCGATGCGTGCGCGACTTGACGACCTTGTAGCCATCCTTCTGCATGCGCGCCTTGAGGGCGGCAAACAGCTCCTCAAAGGAGGTGTACGTCTTGGTGTTGCTGTCGACATTGACGGCGCCCAGGATGCCAAACATGTTGGGCGGCGGCGGGGGAAATCGGCAAACGAGGATCTCGGTGGTGGCCCCCGGGCGGTCGCATACAGACCGCGACACACACGCGCGCGCGATAGAAGCACTAGGTCGCGATAGCTTCAAATCCACTACCGGGTTGCTCGGTCGAGATGGGGGAGGGGGTGCCTTTTTTCTCGGTGTGTCGAAGGGGTGTCGCGGCGCGACGCGGGTCGGCTGCTGCGCAGAGCTGTGTGGATTGGGTTGGGGAGCCTGTGCAAACTCTTCCAGACGTGCACCGGGCGGATGAGGTTTGCTCCACTGGTAGTCATCGGCGGCTCGTCGTTGGGTGGCTGGAGAGGAATTGTGTTTCACGTGGTCTGTGCTGGGCGTGGCTTGTGCGCATGCATTCTGTGGCTCCACCCCCGCATCGCAATTGGAGGCACATTCGACCGGGACAACCCCGGCTCTTGGCCGTGTAAGTCGGGCAGGTGCCCTTCGTGGTCGTGATTGCCTCGACGTCCATGTCTTTGCAGTTTCTTCTGGAGATCTTCCAACTTCGAATTTGTGGCAGAATCAATTCAAATACGCTGATTGGGGACTCTGGAGATCAGCGGATGCCATCCAATTTCAGCCATTCATGAACATCTGATCCTACCTCCCCACACCCCGTCGCCATGGAAGACCGACGTCTGTCCGGCGCGAAGTCGGTCGCATCGTTCCGAACCGCGCAGACCCGAACACCCATCTCCCAAGAATCATCGCCATACTTTTCGTCCCAGACTCGAGATCCCAACAACAAGAGCACCAACTCTCCCTACTTCACAGCTACCCCTGAAGCATCATCCTCTACAGACCGCAGGGCGGGTTTGGTCTACACTCCAAGCTACGACTACTATGACGACACCAGCGGCACCACTGCGTCTCGTCAGACCATTCTTCCCTCTGACCAGTCATACGCCTCCAAGTCGGGCCAGTCTTACACCTCTCGTCCGGGCACTTCCTACAGCAGTCGGACTTCTCGGACTCCCCTCCCTGACAGCGAAAATCACAAGATCGTGTGCGCGCTGAGCGAAGCTCGAGGAGTTACTCCGTCAGTTGGCATGGCATCGGTCAACGTTGCCACTGGCGAGGTGATCCTCAGCCAAATCTCAGACAGTCGATTCTTCACCCGAACCATCCACGAGCTTCAAATTATGGAGCCCCACGTCGTCTTGATTGTCAGCACGGCTTGCCCGCCGAATCCAAAGTCGAGACTATACAGCCACATCGAAGAGAACATGCCCGGCACCAAGATCGCTCCTGTGGACAGAAGGTGCTGGTCAGAGCTAGAAGGCATGCACCGAGTCAACACATGTGCCTTTCGAGAGGATGCCGAGTCAATCAAAGTAGCTCTGGAGGGCAGCTTTTATGCCACTTGTTCCTTCGCCGCGGTATGTCTTGTGTCCCCAATGTATCACAGACACTGATTGAAAAACAGGCTGTCAGCTTTATCGAGGATCATTATGCGATTCGCGTGTTCCCCAACTCCTTGCGAGTACGCTTCCAGTCGTGCGAAGACACCATGATGATCGATGTATCAACCATCTTGTCACTCGAGATCCTCCAAAACCTTCGAAAACCACAGTCAAAGGATAGTCTGGTCGGGCTGTTGAACCAGACGAAAACGCCCATGGGCTCGCGAGTCCTCCGCAGCAATTTGCTACAACCTAGTACACTCAAGAAAGCATACTTGGATCCGAGATATGAAGCTGTCGAGGAATTGCACAAATCTGTCGATATGTTTGTAGAAGTCAGAAAAGGTAGGAACGGCCCAACGAAGGCGACTGGCATTTGTTGACTTTGACAGCGCTGAGCTTCCCCGACGTCGAGAAAATGTTGACCCGGGTATGTGATGAAGGCACGACCTGATGATGATGATGCTGACCGGGGGAAGCTCGTCCTTGTGCCGCCTCAACCGTCCATCGCAGCAACAGAATCCTCCATGGACAACGTCCTCAAAGTCAAAGCCTTTGTCGATGGACTGCCTGATCTTTATCAAGCCATGAGACCTGCTGTTTCGCCACTATTAACGAAGATCCGTGAACTTTTCCGCCCTGAAATGATTGCCCCGCTGCGAACTTTAATATACGAGACAATCCACGAAGATGTCACTCATACCAAGAAAGCTCTCGATCAGCGCAACCAAAGAGCTTTTGCCGTCAAGGTAGCTCCAACGGCAGCGGCCTCTTTGCTGGCTTCATCCCGCTGACCACTTGCAGGCTGGTGTCAACGGTCTTCTGGATGTCGCTCGGCAGGCATACAAGGAGAATACAGAAGATGTCCACAAGCATGTGGACCAAGTCAACGGTATGATGATATCCTTTTCGGCGCGTGTACAATTCCGCATTCTGACAACATTCAGGTGAACTTGACCTGGATGCCAAACTTCAGTACGATCCAAAGCGCGGCTACTCTCTCCGCATGCGAGAAGTGAATTTCGAAGATCGCCCAATCCCGGAAGTTCTTGTTAACCGAGTCGTGAAGCGCGGCAATCTAGAATGCATGACGATCCGCCTCAAGCAGCTAAATCAGCGGATTTCCGATTCTGTAGCTGAGATCGCCATGCAATGCGACAAGGTGATTGAAGATCTCATCGACAATATCAGAACTCAGATAGCGGTTCTTTATCGTATCTGTGAATCAGTTGCTCTGCTTGATATGCTGGCCTCGTTTGCTCATGTCAGCTCGATCTACGACTGGATTCGACCAGAGGTTTCGGACACCTTGGCACTCAAGGCCGCAAGACATCCGATCCTGGATAGGGTATGTTTCCCGCGGCTACTTCTTCCACGTTTTCTAACAAAAAGTGATAGGAACTCAAGGAAGAATGCATCCCAAACGACCTCTACGCGGATGACAACTACCGATTCCAGATCATCACCGGATGTAACATGAGCGGCAAGACTACCTACATCAAAAGCATTGCGCTGCTCCAGATCATGGCGCAGATTGGATGCTTTGTGCCGGCCGAGCGTGCTACGTTCCCTATCGTCCACAGCATCTTCGCGAGAGTGTCTACAGATGACAGCATCGAGGCCAATTTGTCATCCTTTTCGAAGGAGATGCGGGAGATGGCCTTTATACTTAAGTACCTCGCGATTCTTGCTCGCATTATGCCACTGCTAATGATATGTAGCAATGTGGATGACAAAAGCATGGTCATCATCGACGAGCTTGGTCGAGCCACGAGTGCTCGTGATGGACTCGCAATTGCGATTGCTATGGCAGAAGCACTCATCCAAAGTCGAGCGAAGGTCTGGTTCACAACGCATTTTGCGCAACTCGGTGAGTAGTCTCAGGCGGCTGAGATGCGTGGATGTTTATTAATATCCCATAGCTGAAGTTTTAAACGACCGTCCCGGAGTTCTCAACCTCCATCTCGCAAGCCATCTTTCGAATACGTCCAGGGGCGATCCCAGGTTGACCATGACGTACAAAGTTGAATCTGGCAAGGTAGACGAGATACCATACGGCATTTTACTCGCCAAGGCAATGGACTTCCCTGAGCGATTTCTAGACGTGGCGGAGCAAGTCTCTCAGTCCATCCGCGAAGATAGATTGAAGAAACAGCAAACCTCAGAGGCAAGGCGACTCGTCAGCGAGCGCAAGTTAGTACTAAGTCTTCATGAGCAGTTGAAGCAAGCGCGGAATTCCCAGATGGATGATGCTGCCCTCGCGAGCTACTTGAAGCGCCTCCAGGTGGAATTTGTGGAGCGCTTCGAAGCCCTTCGTGTTACAGGGAGCCCGGATGAAGATCTCGAAGAGGAGGGCATGGAGGAGGAAGAGAATGACACGTATGACGATGATGATGTGTTTGACTCTGTCGATGTCGAGTCTTTGTCGACACGTAGTTTAGCAGGGACCGCGTAGCGTTGTTTTCGAGGTGTTGGACTTGTAACGAGGAAATTGGCCGAAGTAGCTGGGTGGAAAGTGCCTAATGACGATGCACAAGTGAATTTGCCCATGTGGCTGAGGAGTTGGGCCGTGGAATAGATAAACATCTTGCTGGAATTATTTGCAGTCTGCGCGCGGATCGTTGTGAGAGTGGGACCTAGGAAACCTCTGGCCGCGAGAGTGGCTTCTGAGAATCGTCGTATCCTCAATTTGAATGCTTTCGTGGGGATCAGAAGACCTGGGCAAAAAATGTGTCAAGGTTTTCAGATACTGAAAAAAACCAAAAGATAACGCGACGGTCATCCGTTAGGCCCTCCTTGCTTATTGTTTTTTGCAAGATTCGAACTGAGCGCCCCTACCCTCAACAGAGTAACCAGAAACTCATCGGGTGGTATTGGTTTTAAGTTGCTAGAGATGCTTTACCAACTAGACCATTCGGCCCATCTCTTAGTTGTAACTGGTTGGAAGATGTTGTCGCAACCTCAAGGAAATAAGGTAGCTTGGGGCGGGGTGTTAGAGGGGGCCATCAGCCTCAGGCCAGCTCACCTGGGTGAAGCGTGGACTGCTCACCTCACCTTCCACAACCCAGCCCGATCAAACAAAAAAGATGCCTTTATAATTGGGTGAACCTGTGAATGCAACAAGCTTTGACTCCGTCCCTTCTTTGAGCGAGGAGGCACAGCTTGTCTCACACCTTCCTCGGGCACTCGATTGGAGGCAGGCACCTACCTTCCTTTGTGTTCCTTACCTGCCTCCTCACGACGACATCTCACGCCAACCCTCCTACATTCTACATCCCACCACCTCTTCTGTATTGGAAGATTTCTTTTCTGCCTCGTACCGAGTTTTCCAACTGGAAATTTCTTCTCCTTCTCCCCATCCCTCCAAGGCACACCAACACACGCCAAAACACGACAACCACATCAACCTGCAATCAACTCCCCAGTCTTTCGCCATGGCTTGTCCCGACATCGCCTCGTAAGAAATCATTCGGGCGTTTTTCTTTGCACCTGCTGACAGTCTCGTAGCCTCTGGGAGACCAAAAAGGATGCCGACATCTGGCTCATGATGGGCGAAGAAAAGTGGGAGCTGCACGACAAGGTCATCCGAGGCAAGAGCGAGATGGTTGACTTTCTCGTCGATCAGAAGGCCGCAGTGGTAACGCAAATTTCTCCCTCACTTTATTTGCTCCTGCCTGTTGCATTCGACAGAAGTGTTGCTGACCACGTGTTCTACCAGGACGACCGCGTCAAGAAATTCGCGTTGAAGGACCACCTCTTCAAAGCCCCTGCACTGGAAACCGTTCTCAAGTGGCTCTACGTCGGAGGTAAATTCAAATCCTGCGCCACTTCTTCTGTCAACTTCAGTTGACAACCTTCAGATGATGCGCTGCCACACAAGCCCGAGATTTACGATCTACTCACGATCCACGACGTTGCTGCGTCCCTTGGCGTGTCCGATCTCACGGCCGAACTCGCCTCTCGTGTCGGTCATGACCTGAGCGACATCCTCGATAAGCGCGTCGACATGTTGGAAGACTTCATGATGGTGGCTGACATCATCGTCGACGAGGCCAGCGAGGCCCACGATGACTTGAAGCAGGAGCTCCAGAAGGCCATTGGACCTCACCTGTGTATGCTCCTCCAGCAACAAGACTTCCGCAATCTCCTTGAAGACGACCCCAAGTTCTGCTTCAACACCCTGTCTACTGCCGTTAGCGAGATCACGCGAGTGACCGAGGAGTCCGAGAAGAAGTTGGCCGACGCCGAGAAGCAGCATAGAGTCAACGACTCGGCCATCGACTTCCCAACCTTCGATACCCCGGTATCGAAGAAACCTGCCCGGGTGAGCGCAAGCGAAAGCCCGCAGACTCCGGATACGTCCAAGAAAATCAAGGTGGAGAGTCCTCCTAGTGCGGCCGAAGGTATTGGTCACGACTCGATGCGGACCGCTGATGCCGGATCTACTCCCTTTGCTGGCCCCCGATTCAACCGCGGCATGGGTATGTGTGGACATAATTCCTTTCCTCGCACACCTGACCTTATCACAAAGAAGAACCGAAGAGTCAGGCAGGACCCAGCTAATTTGTCTCGTCACTGGAAGATGCCGGCGCTTTCAACTTCTCCTACAAAGACGAGCGAGAATTCCCATTCCCTCCTAAGTTCCCCGCCCTCTCCATCAAGCGAGGACCTGCCATCAAGCCATCGCCCGCAATGAAGTCATCTTGGGCTCCCACGCCTTTCCCCACACCCAGTGGAAAGGCTTCGCCGTCCGATGATGGTTCGGAGGCATTCGAATCCTGCGAAGAGGGATCCGACGAAGGCGAGATCCGGGAGAAGCGTCGTATCATCCCCTCGCGACCTTCTATCCAGAGCAAGATGATGCCCCTTGACCAAACAGACCACAAGGCTAAGACGAGATTCCATGTGCCTGGCAGCTTCGAGGCTTCCCTGGCAGTACACACCCGAGGTGTTGGCACCAGCGATGTTCATTCAAAGCCAGCCACATTTTTGCCAACTGATCGACGAAGTGGAGCGTATCACCTTAGCAGCTCATCCATCGAACAAGATGATACCATGGAGTTGCCTGCCAGACGCAGTGGTAGCTATGCCTTTGGTAGCACTTCCATCCAGCAGGATATTCTTGTGCCCGACGAAGTCCACAGCAAGCAACCGGAGTTGAAGCAAACCGCCGACACCAACCCCGCTACTGGGTCCCAAACCATGCCCTCCTTCCACAAGGAACCCCTCCAGCGTCCAGCTCCCCGCAAAGAGACCGTCCGAGCACCGTCTCCAGCCCCTGCTCCGACTTGCGCCCCGGCTCCAGCCTTTGCTCGGGCTCCAGCCTTTGCTCGGGCTCCGGTCTTTGCTCCCACTTCCGCCCCAGCCTCGGCTGAGACCGGCCCCAAGTTGGATCGCAAAACGGCCCGAGAGGTGGAAAGAGGAAGACTCAACGTCAAGACTACAAGTAAGTCTGTGAAACAAGTTGTTTTCTGGTGGTGCGTAGACCCCTTCACCACATTAGACTTTTGTTCCCTTTGCCTGTGTTCTGTGTCCAGATTGCTAATACAATTCCAGAGCGCGCGAAGACCTCCAAGAAGATGTATGACGCGGATGCACCCAACATTGACTGCGTCCAGTCTTGAGACATGTACCATGTGTGGAAGAGGCTGTCAAACTCAATTCGATGTTTTGAGAAGTTTTAGGTCACGCATGTCTATGGTTACGCACGACGGAAGGATTTGCTATGATCAAGTGTCGGCGGCAAGGACAAGGTACCCATTTCCAGGGTTTTATTGCACGTAGCCGTCGTCTAAGACTTTGATATGAATAGATTACAACTGAGCCTTCTCTGTCCGGTTGCCACTTTCGTCGAACCAGATCTTCTGCCCCGTGATCATGGACTCTTGTAACGCAGCGCCAATCTTGACAGCCGCAACAGCAGACGTCAGCTTCACTGGCACGGGCTTGTCCTCCAACACACTCTCTGTGAACTCAATCGCCTCCGTCGTGAATGCCGCCCTGAAGCGGTCCCAGTAGGTCTGGGGCAGCTCTTGCCTGATGCCGCCGGGCTGGTAAATCTTGACGTGGTTCTCCGCGGGCAGCAGGTTCACCGTAAGCTTGCCCTTGGTGCCGATGATCTCAGTTGAATCCTCCTGGCCTGCGGCCATCATGCGCGAGGCGTAGAGGTAGGCGATGCGGCCGTCGTAAAACTCGACGGTGCCGACAGCGTTATCGCGGTCGTTGTGCTTGCGCAGGTCGGGCTCGACGGCGGTGATGCCGACGGCGTGGACGGACTTGACCTTGCTCTTGTCCTCGTCGAAGAACCAGAGGGCGAGGTCGATGTCGTGGATGGAGCAGTCGACGAAGATGCCGCCGGAGAACTGGGCGTAGGCGACGAAGAAGCCGGTGGGGTCGAGGACGTCGCAGGTCTGGGAGCGCAGGACGGCGGGGCGGCCGATGAGGCCGGCGGACATCTTTGCGTGGGCGTCGCGGTAGGAGGCGTCGAAGCGGCGGGAGAAGCCGCACATTACCTTGAGCTCGGGGCGGCGGACGGATGCGTCGACTACTGTCTGGGACTTTTGGCGGTGTTAGTGTCTCGACGATTCTTCTGGGGAAAGGGTAGATGGTAACTCACCACCTCAACAGTCGTGCCGAGGGGCTTCTCGCAGAGGACGTGCTTGCCGGCGTCGATGGCCTTGATGGCCTGCTCGGCGTGGACAGCGGTGGCGGAAGCGACGCAGACGGCCTGGAGGCCTTGGTGGGCGAGCATGTCGTCGTAGGACTCGTAGACGGCGACGCCATGCGGGACGAGGGTCTCGGAGGCCCATTGGCGCTCGGCGGCGTCGGGGGAGGAGACGGCGACGAGGGATGCGCGGGGGACGTTCTGGTGGAAGTTGAGGGCGTGGCGCTTGCCCATGCGGCCGAGGCCTGCGACGCCTACGTGGAGCTTTTGTGTTGACATTGTCTGTGTGGTTCTGGATCTGTATTGACTGGCCGAGCGAGGGACGGCAGCTGGCGTGATGGGAGGTGAGGGCGTCGTGGAATGGAGGCGGTCGTCGAGGTGAGGCCGGAGGTGTTGGGCTGCCGCGGGGTATCACTGGAATGGGGATGAACGAGAGGAGCTGCTAAGACATCTCGGGAGGATGCAGAGGAAGGCGGCTGGGCGGATTATATACCGCCACCACTCATGCAGGCCTCACCGATTCTTTTCACGCGCCACGACATTTTTTTCTTCTCTATTTTTCTTCATCGCATCCATGTCGGGATTCGGATCCCGACATGATGTCTTACCCGTGGGGCAGACGCCACTGACGCCAGCAGGCGAGCCCGACCGCCTGTCCAATTAAGCCATCCTCGTGGATAGGGAAACCCAGGAATTGGCCTATGGAAAGTTGAAGCGCCATCTTTTTCGGTCAGAGGATATGGGAAAAGCCCACTTGAAAAGACGCGGTTTCAACAGAAGCGACGCGCTGGCAGGTTGGGGATGTTGGAGACGTGGAGTTGGAGAGAGGCTTAAAATGGCACTGGCATTGAGGCGAAACTTGGTGTAAGACGACGGACCCTGATTTTTGTAGGGGATAGTTGCCGTGGTTTCTGGATAGAGCAGGTGGGGGGTCTGGGGATGTGTAAAGCGAAGATGCGGATTGGTTATTGTCGTGATCGGGGAAAATTGCCCCGATTCTGGATCGAGACGGGAGGGAAATTTGGTCCGAATGGGGGCCGCGGGGGTTGGTGGTTGCCGACGCAATCGTTTGGCACCTCTACCCCAACGGCTGGGCCGAAGACTAATCAGAGATTCGGCCCAAATGCGATGAAACTTTATGGGGTTCAGCATGCATGGTGTCAAGATGCCAATATCTGTGATCTCGGTTTCTCCGCATTCAACGTCAAGCGTGTGTTGGGATCCGCCAAGCTGGGCCTTGTCCACGCCCCCATCCATCCCCCATCCTGTTCCCCTCCTCTCCCCTTCCCCTCACAGTCTGGGGTCCGGGGAGCCGCGGGGAGCTAATAAGTTTCTGGGGTAATTGCGGTTTGGAGAAGTTGAGGTTAGCTTGGCCGAACAGGAGTCCTTTTCGCACTCGGGTTTTGGTTGTCGGGAAATATGCTGCGAATGACATTGTCTGCGTGATCATTTGTCAAGGGGTGTTAGTTGGCAAGTTTGCCGAACTTTGATGGAATTGGCCAGCCACCTGCTAAGATGCAACGGAAATGGAACCAAGCAGACTCGTAATTCTTAATGCGTTTTTTTACTTTGATAGTAAAATAAGTCCCGGCTATTCGCAGCGGACTACCTTATTGACAGCCCCGTCATCAAAGTGGATATTCTACAATTCATAGTCGCTATGTCTTTAACGTTTCGAAAACAGCTAGAGTCTCACGAATCGTCCTCCCAACCCCACGCCCGCTTCAGGTGCGACTGCGCCGACGCCGTCGGCCACATGTGGTGCACATCCGTCTTGACCAAAATGTCGAGAAGAGCCTTCTGCTCCACGTGGTCGGTGAACCGGTCGCCGCACGCAGTCACGCCCATGCAGGCCGTGAACATGGCTGGGATTGTGTCCTTGTTGGAAAGAGCTGTGCCGCAAAGCTCTCGTATTTGCGTCCTGATGTCGTTCTGCACTCCTTCATCAGAATGTTTCGCGTAAAAGTGACAGTTCAGAGGGTTGACTTACATCTAATTTCTGCCTCGCCAGTCTGCGGGCTGGTCCGATGCGTGGAATGCTCTCGTCGTGACACATGAGGAGTGCCCTGGCAAGAGTCCCATGAACGTTGCCAATGACTATTAAAGGCTAGTTAGCGTTTTGACTCCTGCTGAGATACATAGCCAACATACCAACAGCATGGTTGATGTAGAAGATCCGCGGAAACGCCTGGTCCGCCGCCGGATCCGGCTCGCTATACGCAATCGGCAACCACGACAACGGCCGCGCCCTCAACCAGTTGCGGTCGTACTCGACCAGCCGCTGGTACTCGCTCTTGCGGTTGTCCACCTCCCCGAAGCAGAACTGCACGACCTCGGCGCAGTGCACCACGATGCGGTTCGCCCAGCAGTCGTCGTCGGCCGGCGAGAACGAGCGGTCGATGAAGAGGTGGTCGAGCTTCACCATGATGGGCCGCTGCGTCGCGAACGCCATGGTGATCTCCTGGCGCAGGCCGACCCAGAAGCAGGCCTGGCGCAGCTGGCTCTGGCGCGGCAGCCCGCCGTTCTGCGTGTTCATGAACAGCTGGATGCCGAGCAGGTGGCCCTCGTGGTCGGTCCCGATGAGGGGCACGTCGAGCTCCTCAAGGGTGCGGAGGAGGATGGTGGCGGCGAGGAGGTCGTCGTTTGTGAGGGCCGAGCTGTCGTTGGAGATCTCGGTGAGGTGCTTGAGGCATTCCTGGTGGTAGCGATCCGAGGCGTAGGGGTCGTATTGGTCGTGCAGGCTGAGGTGGCGGGATGAGAGGGCGAAGATTGCGTTGAGGAGGGTCGGGCAGGTTATTGCTCTCTGGGGGACGACGATGGCGAAGTGGCGGCGGGCGTCACAAAGGTCGAACTGTATGCGTCTTTAGACCAAGATGCATGAATATTGATCACATATGAATGGAGACTAACCCAGGTGCACATGTATTCGAGGTAGTACTTCATCAACCTCACTTCATGGGGTTGCGTGAAGGGAAACACGACGTCTCCATGGTGTTCATAGTTGGCCAGTCCAAGTGTTGAACCTAGCGGTATTGAGCTGTAGACCGTAGGCAACGGCGTAGGTGTTTGCACCTCCTTCCAACTCGTGGCTCGAGTTGAAGCAAGCTGGTTGAACGGACTAATGGCGGCGGCGGGGAGATGCTCATGGAGAGTTTGCTGAACTGACGAATTCCTCGACCTCTCCGAGGTTGCTTGCACGACTGCCTGCTCCTGAGCCGGCGCGTCGACCTGCCTCATGAAGGGCGGGCTTCCATCCTCGGACCAATAGAGGGCCTCGAGTTCCTGCGTCTCATCGACGAAATGCACTGCCAGGCACGCAACATTTGTCAATCTCTACAAGTCACACACTAAACATCGATGATCGAAATCGAAAACAAGATGAGAATGAGGCTTATCGGGGTCTCCATTCTCAAGCATACACGCCAAGAAGCACAATAGACGAAAAGCACGAAAATGCTGCGGGCAAGACTTACAACGCCGCGGGTAGCGCACCCAAGTCTCCGATGCACTCGGCGTCCTGACGATAACACAAAAGTGATCAGCGGTTTGTTCCGCAATGAAAAATAACGCACTTCAGCTGCTGCTGCTGGCTCCTTGGTCCTCGTGACGAGAGGCCGACGATAACGACAGAAACCGGGTCCATCGCGGAACCGGGCCCTGAGGGCGTGTCATTCTCGTGGTCCTTGTCCATTGGCAAGGGCCGTCTGCAACAGGAAACTTCGCATGTCGGTCACGGCGCAGGAAAAGACAAGAGGGAGCTCCGCCTTACTCGGTAGAGTGCTTGAACCGAATAGCGGGGGCCGGGACGCAGTCCTTGCCAGTCGCCCTGCATCGAATACATGAGATTGCTGCTGCTGCTGTGGTGGTGTTGGTGGTGGTAGTGTCGGCCCGAGAGGACGGCGGACCAGCGGGAGCGGCGTCATCGGTGCTCCACGCGCATTTGAGGTGTTGCTTTTTGCAGGTCTGGTTTTGGCAATGCGGTCCTTGGGGCTCTGCGGCTGTTGTTGCGCCTGAGTGGGTTTCGGGTTTTCGATGCTGAATGAGGTCTGAATTTCCGACTTGGTTTTGGAGAACTCTCTATTCAGGCATTTTTCTCCCCAGCTCAGACGCAAAACAGAGCAGAAACCCCGAAACCGCAAAGTCATGTCAGCAATTGAACTTTGCTCCCCAAAAGTGAAGAAACTGCAGACGCCACATGTAGTCCAGACGACATATGTACTCCAGACTTCAGATCTTGTGGCTGCTTAGACGAAATCCGGGGTAGAAATAAACGTGCGGGTGGACAATCTGGGGTAGCGATGAAGATTAAAAGAAAAGTCGCGTGGGAATAAACACGTACCAGACATGTCGTCGACATGATTTTGGACCCTTCACCCCGTCGTCTGCGACCTTCAATCGGCTGTTCTTTCGTGAAAATGAGACGATTGTGGTGGCCAAGGGAAGGTCGAGGGGATAAAAGCATTTCCTGGTTGGTGATAACGGGAAATGGCTGCATCGGGGCGACTTGCTCCCCCGCGTGGAAAAGGAAGAAAGCTCCTAGGCCGGCTCACATTTCGCAGCGAGCTTTACACCGGCCCAAATTACCAAATCATCCCGCCCCGGCAATGCGAGCACACACACGAATAGCTGGCTAGGTAGAGCAGACGGCAACCCCTAGCCTATGACGAAGCTGTTAATGCATGTTACAGCCGTAGAGAGGCGGCCCGCCCCTGACTCGCGTTAACAGGAACCCATAGCGACCAATGGCCACCACCCCAGACTGGGTTTCTCCATCTGATGTGGAGCGTTCCACGGCGAGATTCCGGAGCTTTTCGAGCCTCTCCTCGAAGACACTGTTCTTCCCCACCAAAGCTTCCATCCCCCACGGCCAAACTCACTTGCGAGAATCTTCCAACAACCACCCCCTGGCGGTGTATGGAAAGACGGTCTGTTATCAGTCAGGAGACAGAACATAACAGAACGGCTGTTCCATCTTCGAAGTTCTTCCATAGTCCCACCTCCGGGCGCTCGATTAACGGACCACTGCCGAGCACAGGGGCGGAGCAGGGATCGTCCGTCAGGCGCTGTCATCGGCCCTCAACGTGTTGTCTGCAGAGCAGCAGACTGCTGTGATGCGAACCCACCGGCAACGACAACTGTGTCTCAATAACCAGCCTTGGCCAAGTTTTCTCCAAAACTGCCGCGGGCATAACCCCGGTCGTAATTCGCGGTACCCGGACTGATGGCCGAAAATAAGAGGAATCCATAGGTTCAGCGACAGACACTCACCCTAGTCCCCTGTGACTACGCCCCCCTGCAGCCACTGACAGCCCGCGTATTGGAAGCGGAGCGAACGCTGACACGGATTCCCCATTTCTCCAATTCCCCAGAAACCCTCTTTTAATTCCCCCACGATTTAGCGGCTCGTGTATGTGTGAGGAGAGCGTGCCTGTTTTTGTGAGAGAGTAGTGTGTGTGTGTGTGTGTGTGTGTGTGTGTGACAACTAGCGTGTGGCCATTGGCTCGCTGCGGCTATTCCATACGTAGGTCCCGTCGAGTATCTACGGCTTTCCAAGCGCAGTGGGGCACCCATTGCCCTTGTCTTGTTTTTTCGATGCCGTGCAATTGGGAACGGGCGTCTTCGGGACCAGCTGGGCTGGCCCTGGCCAAGGAATTTGGGGAAAGGAAGGGGAGAACGCGAGGTCCAGCGGAAAAGTCTATAAAGACTTCGTCGTGCCATGTTTTGTGAATCATGTTGCGTTCTTGAGACTTCAGTCGAGTGCGACCCAAGCTCCTTCTCACCAACATAGTTTGATACCCCCCGTACTTGATTCCGGTTCACAGACTGGATTGAGCTTTTTCATTCTTCCCCTTTACTTGGTCCCAGCTCGCAGGGTTGCATATCAACACTACCCAAAGTGAGTTCATCCCAATCCGGTCTCCCTCCTAGGCGTTGCCCAGCTTAGTCAGGCATCCGTTTCACATCAACACCACGTCAGAATGTCATGAACTAACAAATCTCTTTTCAGACTCATACGGTATACACGCGGTTCATCATGGCTCATCGACCGGCATCAGCCTCCGACTTGGAAAAGTCGTCGACCAAGTTCGGCGCCTCGACCGAGCAGCAAGAGACAGTTCTCTCCGATGATGCTCTCGATCCCTACGGACCCTCTGGTACGCAAACATCACCTACTAAACTCCCAAACTCGCGCTCACTTTCGACGTAGGATTTCGCGGAATCTTCTCCTCCCACTATGTAGCCCTCTGCGCAGCCTTCTCGGCGATTGGAGGTCTACTCTTCGGATACGACCAAGGTGTCATTTCGGTCACATTGGTCATGGAACAGTTCCTCGAGCGATTCCCCGAAGTCTCCGATCACGCCGCCGGCTCTGGCTTCAAGAAGGGTCTGATGACGGCCATGATCACCCTTGGCGCTTTCATCGGTGCGCTCAACCAGGGCTGGATCGCCGACTGGATCTCTCGCAAGCGCTCTATCATGGTTGCTGTTGTCGTCTTCACGATTGGTTCCGCTATCCAGACTTCTGCGCTCAACTACGACATGCTGGTTGGTGGTCGCTTCATCGGAGGGTTGGGCATCGGCATGTGAGTTTTACGGTCTTCGTTAATTGATCTTCACAGACTAACTGATTTAGGTTGTCGATGGTTGTCCCTCTATACATCTCTGAAATCTCGCCTCCCGAGATTCGTGGCTCCCTCTTGGTCTTTGAGCAGCTCTCGATTGTCGTCGGCATCGTTATCTCATTCTGGATTACCTGTAAGCACCACGAGAAACTCAACCTTGTCAGCCATTCTAACTTATGCACTACAGACGGAACCAAGAGCATCCCGAATCACTGGTCATGGCAACTCCCCTTCCTCATCCAGATTCTCCCCGGCCTTCTCCTCGGCTTCGGTGCCATCTTCCTCCCATACTCTCCCCGATGGCTGGCGTCGAAGGGCCGCGAAGAGGAGGCTCTCCACAACCTCTCCAAGCTCCGCACGCTGCCCGACACCGACCCTCGTGTCCGCCGCGAGTGGATGGAGATCATCGCCGAGGCCCGCTTCCAGACCTCCGTTTCCGCTGAGCGCCACCCGACCCTCGTTGGAAACAACGACCTTGGAAGCAGCTTGAAGCTGGAGGTCGCCTCGTGGACCGACTGCTTCAAGGCTGGCTGCTGGAAGCGCACTCAAGTCGGAGTTTTGCTGATGGTGAGTCCCTAAGTTCCCCACCACCGTCCTGAAACACAGGAAGAAGAAATTCAGTACTATGAATACTGACACTGGACACAGTTCTTCCAACAATTCGTCGGTATCAACGCGTTGATCTACTACTCCCCGACCCTCTTCGCGACCATGGGACTCGACAGCAACATGCAGCTCATCATGTCCGGTGTTCTCAACTGTGTCCAGCTGGTTGGTGTCATCCCCAGTCTGTGGACCATGGACCGCTTCGGACGTCGCTCCATCCTGCTTATCGGCAGTGCTCTCATGTTCATGTCCCACACGATCATCGCCGCGCTCGTGGGTGTCTACTCGCACGACTGGCCGAGCTACCAGACCCAGGGCTGGGTCAGTGTCACCTTCCTGATGATTTACATGCTCAGCTTCGGCGCTTCCTGGGGACCTGTCCCCTGGGCCATGCCTTCTGAGGTCTTCCCGTCGTCTCTACGTGCCAAGGGTGTTGCCCTTTCCACTTGCTCCAGTAAGTTGTCCGCGACACGAGGTTTTACCGTTCTTCAGAAATTAACAATCATCCAGACTGGATCAACAACTTCATCATCGGTCTCATCACTCCTCCCCTCGTCCAGAACACCGGCTTCGGAGCCTACATCTTCTTCGCCGTCTTCTGCTTGCTGTCCTTCGTCTGGGTCTGGTGGTTGGTTCCCGAGACTGCTGGCCGAACCCTGGAGCAGATGGACGAGGTCTTTGGCGACCGCAGTGGTACTGCTGATGTGGCGAAGAAGAACCAGATCTTCAGGGAGGTTGTTGATGAGCAGACACGACCTGCTATGTCGGCGTAGGAGAGAAACACAGAAAGATACCCCGTGGTTGCTATACTATGTAGCGAGTCCGTAGAAATTCAAGATTTTGAGTACACATTTTTCACCAGTCTGATACATACGACAAAAAGAAAAACTATTTGATCATGTCCAAAGTACTTCGTACATCTGTACGTGCCTGATGATGACGTGCGTTGGTCTTGGCGGGTGCTGGATTTTCGCCCGAGGCCAATTGATCGATACCGCACGTGGCTGGAGGGCTGAAAGGAATCATTCCAGACTGAGAGGCAAAAGCCGATGTGCGGCGCAGTTTCTAATGTTTTTGAGGCAACACTGCCAAGACGAAATGCTGACAGCCGACGATCAATCACCTTGAATCCTATTACCCATAACTGATTGGGTCACGGATTCGCGCCCAGCGTGAATTGACGTCAGATTCTTAGACATAAGGCATAGACAACGCCCGTTTGCAAGAGAAGAGCGACATCACATCACGCCATCGTAGCAACGATCTCGCCCTGCTCATATGGCATTGAGGACTCAGAGTTGCCAACGAGCCTTACCCTGTCGATCCGTTTTGCCTGTATAAAGCTCACATGGGATTCTAGTCGTTCAGTCTTATTCGAAATTCCGCTCTAAAACAACGAAGAAAATACCACTTACAAAAACGCTAGAGGACCAGCAGTACCTACGAGTCTTCTCTCAACAACCCTCGCTTCAATTGATCATCATGGGTGCTCGACTGTTGACTGCGGTCGGTGCCTCGACTTTGCTTGTGGCATTCGCCCTCCTCATTGTCACCTGCGCGTCCATTCCAAACACCAGCCTGCCTCTTCTCACTGTGGATGCTCACAGGGCTGGTAGAGGAGTGACCGACCGAGAGATCAGGGTGCAATTCGGGCTCTGGGGCTGGTGTCAATATACGAGTGAAGAGTGGTAAGTAGCCACGGGACGAGTAGACCTGCTTTTGAATATGAACAGGCCGAACGACTAACTTGCGAACAGGGAAACGCACCCCGAAGGCTGTGTCAGAGTCAACGGCACATCAGGCTACAACCCCGCCGTGGTCATGCGCGGTCTGGATCCATATCCTTATTACGTGAGCACGGCCGGCGGCGAGAGAGACTTGACCTTGGGATTCGTCCTTCCGGCTGTTGCAATAGCCACGACTGGTGTGGCGATGATCCTGGCCATAGCATGGCTGATCAGACGCAATCGAATCATCAACCTCGCCTCCATCGCTTTCTCCGTCTTGTCTTTCATCTTCACCGTTGCCGCTGTGGGCTGTGTATTTGGGTTTTGCGAAAAGATACGAAAAGACACGCCGGCACGGTCCCTTGTGTGGGTGGGCAGTTCTACGAGCAGGACGCGGACTGACTGGCAATTGGAAACGTATTATGGGCCTTGTGTTGTAACACTGGCACTTGCGTGCGGTGTCTTGCTGGTCTCTACCATCATACTCTTCTTTGCGTGGCTCGCTTCGAAGCGAGAGGACCGAAGGATGTGGAACGAAGACAGCGCAGAGAAGCATCGGGTGTCACATTCAGAGGTTGCTCCATCGGATTCAGCGCGTTGATCAACTGTAGGAGCACCTCTATCACATACTTCTCCATAGCCAATCAAAAGTTAAACAACTTGTCTGTGCCTTGACTCCGTAGACAATGGTGGGATGACATCACGCAAGTCAACGCCAGTGCACGTCCGGAATTCCGGCAAGACATCTTTCGGAGCTGGTCGGACATCAGACGTTTCAGCCTCTGAGCTACCGTTGGGCTTGACCTCGGACGTGCGGGGCGACTGTTATTGCGTGCCACATAAAGCTTGCGGTCCCCGGGATCATAGCTCCGCAGCTTTGACGACGTCTTTCGTCTGACAAAACAATCGACTTCATCGGATCGCAGCCTGTATTCAAGTTACGATGTCGACGGTTTTCCACGTAACGGTTCACGTCCGGCCCAGGGACGTAGCGAGGTTCCTAGAAGCCGCCGAGCCGACGATAGAGAGGATGAAAAGGGAGCCCGAGTTGATGAACTTTGAGATGTATCAAGTGCACGATTCGCCCGGGACGATTACTTGGATTGAAAAGTGGTGAGTGGCCTATGGTGCTGATGGTGGTGTTTGTCTGAGTCGGGGCTAAAGCATCACAAGGTCTGAGCCCGTAGACTGGATTATGAAGGTGAGATGATTCGATATTCCCTCAACTTTCCAGCTGTTGATTGAGCCGAAAAGCACCAAATGACAAAAGACTACTACAACGAGTATTTCGACGCGACAGAACCATTCTACGTCAAACCACGGGAATTAAGGGTGATGAGTTCATTAGGGCCGCGGTACACGTACCAGAAGACATAGGCGGATAGCTGAAGATGTAATTGAATAAAACTTTGGTACAGATAATCACGCGAAAATCTTTTTAAGAGAAGCCATGGGATGACTCTGGTGGCATGTGATTCGGCCAAATATCCACGAAGGATCCGGTAGCCTGAAGCCACACAAAGCGGGGTAGCGGCCGTCAAACGATGAGCGTCAGGTCAACCGAACAATCTTCTTCCCGTAATACTACAAAAACAGCGACCATATTTCGGCGTGTGCAGGATGTCTGACTATCCGATTCGTCCACCAACGCCGCAGGCGATGCTCCATCGTCTCCCCGATAAACCGGAGACAGAGCTTCAGGAGAATACCAAACCATCAAAGTACATCATTCTCATCACAGCTTCGACATCGGTGGCAGGCAAGGTTCAGATCGCCAAGTCAGTCGCTACTGCACTATCCTGTCCTCTCTTTCAAGGCGATAGCTTGCATGAGACGTCAGCCAAAGCCGCCACAGTAGGCATGTCGAGAGGCTCTTCGGGAGCTGACGGCTATGACGAAGCTGTCCGACCGAATGAGGTGCGATATGAGCGCATGTGGCTTTCCAAGATGACCAGAACGGGTTTTTTGTTCCCCGAAGAGTCCCGGCCTGCCAATGAAGGCTTCTCTGGCTTTGGTGGGACAACATCGACATCGTCGAGTCGGCGAGGCTCCTTCAGTTCTATCGCATCCACTACTTCGGATGCTGCTTCGACTTCCAGCATCGCGAGAAGCTTCATGTCTTCAGTTCCTTCAACCACAAAATATGTCAATAAGCCTGTCATGTCTACTCCGCTTGGGGATGAGATCGGGCGCAAGTCAAACCCTGCCTTGATGGTCGTCACACACCCCGAGCTAGAGACATGGCACAAACACTCAATAAGAAAGACCGTGGAAGAATATGGCATCGGGGTTCTCTTTGTTCCTCTATACGAGGAGGAGGAGGAGCTTCCCGTATTGAAGCCCTTGGATCCCAGGGTAATGACGACTTTTGGCTCGATTCCCCGCCCCAAAGCCGCACGGGGTTATCTAGGCGAAGAAACAGTACTGCGAGTTGATATCGAAAGGAAGGTCGAAGATATCACTCAGGAGATTGTGGAAGCTGCTCGGGAAATTATGCAGGTATAACCGATATCCCCTTCAGGCTTTCGTTGTCATACATTCCCACTTGTCTTCAGTGTTACTCATCTTCTGGAATCTGGTTCTCAATTCTTTCTGCCCAGAGAATGAACTCTAAGGTGGTAGCTAACCATAGACTCATACAGTAACTAGTTTTCCTCTTCAAACTCCGTAGTCTCGGTTTGCTTCTCATGTCTGCGTTGGTCAGCGCTGATCCAGTACACTCCCTTGCGGACTTGAATGAGAGGATCCTGGGAAGACATAATGCCTTGAATACCGCCCTTCTCTGGAGTGGGGCTGAATGCAATCTGCTGCTGCCTCTCAACGTTGTCATCGCAGACCTTGTTGATTTCCAGTGTCCCGACCGGGACAAATGTTGTGCTCTTGTATGGCACCGTGGCGTCATCCAAAACATCGTTAGGGTCCGCGATATGAGCCTTGATAGTGAAAAAAATGGGCTTCTCCGGAAATCTTTGCTGAAGATCATCCTCTAGGTAGCTGGGCGCCAGGTCCTTCAACTGATCGTCGGTGTAGAGAAACTCTCCATCTGCGGGCTCCAGTCTGTAACGGACGTTACTGACTTTGCCGTCGACGTTGGTGAGAACATGAGTATTGACTTCATAGTACTGCAAGGTACCATAGTTGTAGGGGTTTGGCTTCGCCCCTTTGACGAATTGGGCAGCGGATGGGTGAATGGCGAGAAATGCGCCAAACATCTGCTGAGCTTGGTTGAATGCTGCCTGTTCCTTGGAGGTATCTCCGCCCTTCTTCTGTGCTTTTTCAAGAGCATCTTGCGTAACACCAAAGGCCGTGAAGACCTTAAGAAAAGCCAAAAAGTCTTCTCCGGTCCTGACAGCGAAGCCATTGAACGAATGTGAGATCAGGTCGGTATGCGTGTTCTCATCGACCTGGAATCGAACTGCAATACCTTTGGGAGTGGCTCTAGGATCGAAGTCGGCGATTTTAGGCAAGCCCCCGCCGACCGAGAAGCGAGCGATGACTGGAGTTGAGGGATTGTTGAAATGGGCTGCTGTCGAAAGAGTCTTTGCCTCCTCCGTGGGCTTGAAAACTCCTTCAACAAGAAGACCCTTGGCATGGGCTATGATGAAGGAAATGGTCAGGATGGGAGTTCATCAGGAGGATGGATTTACATACTAGTGCGATAACCTTGGTGCTTGCCGAACAAGGTTTGCATCGCATTGATGAGGTCTTGTGGAAGCTGGTCGGTAGTGACCGATACTCCGTTTTCGGTGGTTGAGGTAATGGTTTGGGTGGACATGACGGAAAGATTTTCTGAAGTTCAGACTTGAGAATAAGGTGGTAGCTAAACAGGAGGCTGCTGGTAGAAGCTGGTTTATTACTATTCAACAAAAGTACAGCATAGGGCATTTAAATACACGATGTGTTCTTCTCTGCATGATCAGCCATGTCCACATGTCTTTCCAACTAGAGATCGAAAGGCTAGGCGTGCGTTACAGAAAATTTGAAACCGGTAGGTACTCAAACCTAGCAGGGTGAGGTGCATTTTGACACCAGCAGCCACAATACTTCCAGCTCTGGTTGCGTGGATCAAGTTACCCTCATCTAAGGGGATTTGGAAAGGCTAAGGCCGCCGTGGCGTGTCGAACACCCAGCCATAGATCAAGTTCATTCTCGCTACATCTCGAAACAAAACCTATCTCGGGCGAAGATGCCTAGAGCAAGCCGGCTTATCGATCTGGGATCTGAAGTTTGGGGTTTTCACGGTTTCGTCAGTCCAGGAGACTTCAATTCGCCCATTCCTTTTTCCAAGATCTTCACCAAAGGCGCCTCAATCACACACTTGATGAATTTTGTGCGATGGTCTCGGCACTTGAGTCGACAGGTGGCCCTTGAGCGTTTGCTTATGAGGTCTTCGGCTATCAAATCTGTGATTATTTGGACAGAGCCCTCCCTGGGAACAGCCTGCTGGGACGAGATAGACGAAAACGGGTCAAACAGCTGAGACATCTAGAAGGACATCTTGGAGTACGCTGACTTTCATTTGCATCGTGATTGGACTGGAAGGTGGCAGAGCTGTGACAACAGGGTCTGGCCAGGCCATGCCTAAGTTCCGGTCCCACGGCTGAAGTAAGACATGCACCAAACAAGCGCCGGGTGTGTCCCAAAGCATGCTAGTTGGGTGGAATCGCATGCCGAGCTTGGTGGTTACAAGGAGTGTGGCGGGCTGAACCGCCCGCTACGGGCCGCGCCAACGTCCCGCGTGGGTTGTGATTTGGACCGCATGCGAAATAGGCCACCTCCCTCGAAAGGATGGGTTTCCCAAGACATACGCACCCAGAAAACCCCTATGTCGAGGAATTTTGCCACCACGGCAAATTTCTCCATACTTAGGCCACACGAAACGACCGTCGTCTAGGCCGTTTGCGCCAAGCCCAGGCTGTTGCGGCTGGACTGTTTCTAGAACACGGCGCTCTAGTGACCTGCTTGCAATCGCAATAGAGAACTTGCGGCCGCGATGCTCTCTTACTCGGCCAAGACATCAAATCATGTGTAGTATCTATGTGAGCAAGGCGAATGAGTCGATACGAACTGGATCGTATGATGCAAGGTTTTGATCTCTTGACGGAAACACCATGCTATCAGTTCATAGGCAGTGTGACTACCAAAGGACCTGTCTCCAGTATCAAATAATGGAATTTTACAGCTCGTTTGGTGACTTTAGAGCCAAAACAGAACTATCGAAAGTATGCTTATATTCGGTCACGTATTGACTTCCTGTTCAAGAAGGAAAGTGGTCACAGAAATCGAACATGGCGCAGTTCGGAAGCCTTTCGCTGCTGACTACCAAGTCTGAACACAACGGAAGCCTCCAAATTGGATTGCAAATTACCAAATGGCTCATTTGTGAACACCTACAAGCATACCTTATGATTATAGAATTCAAGCCAGCAGCCAGATTTTGAGCTATTATCTACTTCTTCATGACAATCGTGCTCGATTGATAATCATACTCAGCTTACTTCAACAAATTTTCCACAATCTACTATTCACAATGTCAGCTACCACCCAGTCCATGCTCGGTGCTGTGGGCCAGATCCCCACTTTGCACGATATCGAGATATTCTCAACTCTGAAATCCCGAACCAGGTCGAGGACGCTCCTATGGACGTCTGGGACAGGGGAGTGTTCTTGAACGAACTCCAGAGGCAGCGTATTGCCTTGAGACCGGATGCGAACGGTGAAACTGATGGATCTCTTGTTGCAGATCAAGGTCTTGAGAAGGGGACCTACCAAGGAACTTAGTTGCCATTGAAAGAAATGTACAGAATCCTCGAAGAATCATAAGCTGATCCTAAAGTTCCAATACCTGGACCTCATATACTGACTTGATCAAAGTGCAACATCTTCATTTGCGGCGAGGGGCGTCGATGCCCCTTTTCCTGTCAAGAGAGAACTTGCAGACAAACAGGCAGTCTGCATATGGAGCAACCCTGCAGACAGCTATCCTCCTCACCTGGAACTCCCTCAGAAGCTACACGATGACCTTGAAAAATACCAGCTGGATATGAACCAAATACCAAATTTCAACAAGGACTATAGGGATTATATTAATGCCGTGGCACAAGCTTTTACCCAACTTGTTCCCGCCGACATCGCCATGGAGGGTGCACCTTTTGCGGGGCCGACCATTCTTAAATGCGAAGAATACAATCGAAGCAACCCGAGGCCGAAAACGTATATCATGGATGGCGAGAACCTTGGTAACCCTTTAGACTGGTACTCTGATGCCCGATTCGCTCAGCAGCTTCTAAGTGGTGTCAATCCGTCAACCATTACAAAGGCTTCCACCGAGATCATCAAAGCTTTTGCCAATGAAGCAGGCAAGCAAGGGTTACAAAACATGATGGATTTACTGTCCCAGACGAAGGATTTTCTTGCGCCAGATTATTCCTACTTCCGCAAAGCTATGCAAGTCAGTGAAGAAGACATGTTTTGCAGCCAGGTTTTCATACCCTGTGGCCAACGCTCGATTCGTTACGCCTGTGCGCGGATTGTCATCTTCAGCTCCACGACAATGGCAGGCTTCATCCTCTAGCAATTGCCTTGGACTTCAAGGGTAGCCTAGAAAATTCCGTAAATATCTTCAACAAAAGGTTGAACCCAGGCGACACTGGTGCCACAGACTAGAAGGACGACCAGCCTTGGAGATACGCCAAGACCTGTGCTCAAACGGCGGATTGGGCAAAGCATGAGGCTACAACGCATTTGGTGGACACGCACATGATTGAGGAAGTCATCATGTTGCAACCAACCGCACAATTCCCGGAGAACATATGTTGTATGAGGTTTTGAGCTTACATTAATTCTGGACTCGCCCGCTCAACAAAGCTGCTTGCGACATCCAAGAACTACGAGGACGATTGGGACAATAGGGACAATATGCGTAGTAAATTAGTGATAAAATACAAACTACTAGACGTAGTATAATAATTGTTTTCCCAGTTAGCTAGAAGTATCCTCCCGAATAGCAAGACGCTATTCATAACGCCTCTTGGTCTGCCATCCTCGCTAGCCACCCAAGTAAAGATGAACTATATTTATGACCTTTCGTCTGACTGTCTCTTTGGCAGCGTTGTTAACATGGTAATTGCTGGACCGTCCGTCGCCGATTGATGACTTTATACCGTTATAAAGTTTATAGAAAAATTAATTTGAACTGTGTTAAAGGCATTCCAAGAATCATAACAAGCGCGGACAACATCAGAGACTGAAGAGCGACTTTGATGAAATCAGATCTCCTCTTTAACGCAGGGCATACTACTACAGGTTGGTGGTATAGCAAAGCCATAATCCTGTGTCGATAAATTTCGCTATTCATGATCTCTCAACTTTTTTGATGGAGGTTTTGACATTTGACAGTTCATACTATGAATTACCTTGTCGAGCAACTGCCGTACGCCAAAGCTGGAAGTCCAGTGCTTTACGCCTCCTTCTTGGTGACGTAGCCCTGGACTGCTTCCTTCACAAATTACGAGGCCATGAAGTGGGAGTTTTAAACTCCACTCAATGAGCCAAGGCGTGCACCCACGATGCCGAAAAGAACTCGGTGACGTCGGTGTGGAGGACCCGCAATAGCTTTATTCAACGGGACCTTGGCCGGTGCGTGCCGTAGGCGGGGAGCTCCGAACAACGGGTCGTCTTTGTTGGAGCTGCGAATGGTCTCGACTTCAACCTTTTTCAAAGGAGAACCACGAGAGAACATGTCGATCAGGGTGCTTACATGAGTATCCAGTCTAAGAAGGTACAGTCAAACTGATAGTAGTATTAGTAGCGAGCTACAAGCGTGACATGCTTGTCCAATAACGACCACTCTATCTGACGAGCAAATGGCGCCTCTCAGACTGAAATGGCGCTGGATAGGAAAGAAGACCTTGCGAAACGATTTTGTGCTACGCGCGCAATTGACGACTGTTATCTCGACAGCATTGCGGTGAGGCATATCAGCTGAGGCCTTGTTACCAAGGGGGCGGTCAACTTTGCCACCCGGAGTAAATTCCGTGCTAATTATCCCTGGGTGAAACAAGAGGCTCTTCGATTGACGACCAGTCAAAGACGAGTTGTTTTCAAGGCAACAATAACTACGGATATCAACGGTCACCTCGGCCTGCTTCCGACGCCACAATCGCATTGCCTCCCGGGACCAAGAATACGATCAAATCGTCCGCCCGGCTCAAAACCGACAAAGTGGGACGGGCCGACCACAGACGTCATCGCTTTGGGCGAGAAAAACAACCCCTAGCCAGGCGCACGCCATTGCCGCCCGCGCGGCGCCCGCAAGCCCCGCGATTCTACATGCAGACCGCAGAAGTGACTGCAGAAGTGAGGCTTTTGGCGCATCCAGATAACGCCTGTAGGGCCGACGAAAGCCCGTCCATACAGATGCAGTTTGGAGGTCAGTTTAGGCAGCTTGCCACTCTGTCACATGATGGTTCCCCAGCGTGCTCAACTTAAGTGGTTCGTGGGCAGACCGTCTGCCGTCGGCTCCATTGTGTCGGAGGTGACGAAGGACCACAGGTTCGTTGTCGTCTGTAGGAGACTGGAGTTGTCCACCTTTCATTTCGCGCCTGAGGCTCCAAGTCCTCCCGCATTCGCGTCTGCCGCGTCCTCCTCATCTCCAGACTCCAGTCAAACTCCAACGTTGGCTGCCTCAGGAGCTTGGAGCAACTTTAGGGCTCTGGACAAGGATTCGGACTCCACCCGAACTTCATAAAACTTGGTGGCTCGGTGTGGGGCCGAGGATGCAGAATTTTCCGGACCGGCGATGGCCTTGCCGCTTGGCGATGGCATCCCGTTGGCCGTTCCTTTCCGCCTCCTCCCACAGCCGGCACCGGTACACACCAACGGCGTTGAGGGTCGAGCCGATGGTCTGGCACCAACTTCCTGTCAGTCTTAACAATTTGCTCGGGTTTCCCGGTGGAGAATGGCTCATGTGTTCAAATCCCATCACCATCACAAACATGCATCATGCGAGACCGGTCTCTGGCCAGTTGAAAGCCAGCAACCTCGGTGTTGCCTTCCTCCGATGGACGTCTCTCTCTTTTGCTCTATCATTTATCCCTCCCATTGTTCCTGTGCCTCTCAGAGACATTGGACGTGGGCCCGGTTTATCCTCGCGTCAGGCATCACTCGCCTGAGATGTGGAGTCCAACCGGCTCAGACAACCGTCCAAGAGTCAGGGACTCAGGGTCTTGCCTCGTTCGGTCGATGGTCGATGCCTGATAGGATACGAAGTGATGAAGATCTCTTCACAAGACGAGACTTTTTGTTTATCAACAGACGCAAATTAATGCCTAAGCGAAAACATGGAAACCACGTTCTGCCAGGAATTTGACACTTTGACAGTCCTGGATGAACCAGGCCATTGGTAAAGAGATCGGCAATGTTTTTGTTTCTCTCTCGCGCATTTGACCAATTTTGGTGATGATGGCAAACCGCCAAAGAGCTCACAGTGGCTAGAGACTTGAGAGACCAAGGATGACGGACTCTGGGGATCAACCGCCGAGTGTCCGAATACGTCAGCCTACATATGATGCTGGTTCAATGATGCTGATTTTTGTGCGCCAAAGGGGCCAAACGTCGGCTTCATTGCCTTTTTGCGCAGAAAGAGGTCACTGAACCAACATAACAGCTGCGGGCCCGAGTCAGCTCATGTTGGATTTGGAGGAGATTGACTGGTCGTTCTCCGGTTCATGCGGGCAACGCTGTGGATAGAACGGTCAGCCATCAACGGCCAACCAACGGCCATCAAATCTTGACCCGGCTGGGTTTTCCGCCCGTAATCCCCCAGCCATCGGGGAATGCTCTGGGGTTTCAATAGCCTCGTCGCAGGTTTCAGTCGGCTCATCATTGGCTTGGCCGCCGGGCGTCGCCTCGCGCGCCTGCTCGGATTACCGCTTTAGGAGATGCCGAGCCCGGTGAAAATTCTCCTTCTCCGACGACGTCATTCCGACGACTGCTTAGGACTGCTTAGGACTGCTTAGGAGTGGTTAGATCGGAATGCTGATCCCACTAAAAACCCCACAGTTAGCCGCAAATATTTTGGAGTCTCCAAGAGACAGCGAAGGATGAGAATCCACGACGGATCCAAACACAAGCAATTTGGCCAAGTGAGCCGTTTCCATCAATATCTCTTGTCGTTCTGGGCGATTTGGGTCTCGTTGTCTTAGCTACGAGTCAAGCATTTTGACGAGCCATGGCATCGAGCTGACGTTCAACTTCATGTTAACAATGTCTGCAAAAATAGCTGCTGAGAACATAGCAATCGTGACAATCAGTGCGTCTCTTTCTCGACACTAATTTCGTCCGAACCAATACGTCATACTCTCCACCTACCACCATCCACCTCGTCAAAGGTCGTCACCAACAACTGCCGACGTTGACAAATCGCGTGCGAGTATTTCAACTTGAAACCTGGTTCTGTCGCCGTTCCCCACGGCTGGGTCCAACTTAAATCTCGAGCAGGGCCAAAGAGAGGCAGCAAAGATGGCCGCGCGAAATGGGCATAGAGTCAGAATCCGCAGCTGCAAGCGCTCTCAGCGGCTACGCTACCACCCTGCCGCGTCCCTCGTAGTGTCGAGAGCCTCGTCGGCTCGGCGCTTCTTTCTTTTAACAGCCACCTAGGGCAGGGTGGCCGCAGGGTTCACACAGGGCCCCCTGACTCGCATATGTGGGCGACGGCGGCGTATTCAACGCTCAGACTGGCCACTGCAATGAACCGATGGACCAACTGGATGTAACTGTATGGCACACAGGCAACCTAACTAATACAAACATGCACAAAGGTGCCCCGAAAAGGTACCCGTCAGCCTGCACTACTTATCGGTCTCTATCAGAGATTTCAGGTATGACGTCGTTTTCTCCAGTGCATCTCCATCTCAGATCCACCGATAATGTACGATAATGGACATGGCTGCGGCTCTTCTGGGTCCTCAATTGAAGCCTCCAGCTCCGCTTCTTCGGTCGGATAGCGAATCATGCGTGCTTGCGCACTCTGCCTGGCTCTCTTACCGCATCGGTGTCTCTCCGAATTCTGCCGTGCAGAAGAGAGGCATGAGGAGTTCTCCACGGGCGCGTCGCGGCGGTGAGACCACCGTATTGCAACGTCTTGCGCCCGTCCTCGTGCCGTATTGGCCCAGCGCGGGCCCATGTCTTTCGTGCCGGCGTCTTGGCCTGCCTGACGACATGCCCCCGTTCCCAACTTTCTCCTCCCCCCTCGCGTACCAGCTTGGTGTACCTCCAACCTTGCCCATCCCCGTGGATCCCAAGGGTGGGGAGTTCTTTCACCCCCCTTCCCCCTCCGGGTCGGAGACAACTCCACCACCTCCAGGAGGGACCCTCCATAGGGATCTTGGATCGTACGGGGATTGGGGGAAATCGGGGCATGTCTTTGGGGGACGGCTGGGGATTGGTTGGCTGGGGTTCTTGGGTTGGGTGTAAACAGACGGCGCCAGGGTCCGAGGCTGGCACGAGTAGGTCGGATGTGTTATTGTACGACTGCAACGTGGGAGAGAGTTCACTCCCTCTGGCACGCTGACGTTGCCGATCTTTACCCTGGAGCGGCAGAACTCGATTTTCATCTAAAAGGACGTGTCGCGCCGCTTCGTTCGAGGAGTTTCCTGTCATTGTAACATCTCAGCCCGAGCACCTGGATTCATTCCTAGACCGACCATCCAACAGCTTGCGACACCGTCTGGTAATACCACATTCAGACACTGCTAGCTGTGAAAAGAGTCTTCAAGATGGGTAACTACTTTGGCCTTCGAGGCAAGAGCCTCAACTGGGCGATCAGTATC